CCTTCCCGATCTGTTCGCTCGCCGCGGCTACTCGTCAGTGCCCATGACTACCGCGACGAGGTACTAAGAAAGGGGTCGGTTTGCTGGCATGGGCATACTCCAATACAGAAAGAGAGGCACGACCGCAGAACCCCTTAGGAACAGGGGGGCCACACACACACACACACACCCACCCACCCACCCACGCACGCACGCACGCACGCACGCACGCACGCACGCACGCACGCACACACTTGATATGAGACGGCGAAACTGCGAAGGTGCACCCCGAAACGTAGGAAGACGCATGCACGGAATCAGGTTGGAGTTTCGGCATGGCTCACTCAGGTCGTCGTTCCCGACAGCGGGCATCCTCTTCAACGGAGTGCCAACACCCAGCTGTCAGTACTTCACGCCGTTGTTCACCATGGTGGCACCCGACTCCAAACACAAAAGGACAGCGGAAACCCCTTAGAAACAGGGGGGCCACACACACACACCCCGCAGGGGGAGAACACAGGAAACCGAAAGGCCGCCTCCATCATGATGCTCGATGGGAGATTTGGTCACTTTTTAAAAATCCTGCCTGTGCGTCTGGACGCGCATGTATCTCACAGTATTAAAAAGCCGAGTTTCTTAAACAAGGGCCAAACAGGAACCCAGACCCCAGGGGTGGTAGAGCTGCAACTGTATCACCGGAGACGACAGGACAAATTGTGTTGGACACGTTAAGGTAGTCTTCTGATGCTGTTCCCGAGCTTTCCTGAGGCGCTCCAAGCTCTTCCAGCGCTGCGTGACTGCCAATGTATACATCGGACTGCGGGTTGACTGAGTGCGGAAGGTCAGGGCGAAGTTCTACTCTCTGCTTCCAGTATACCGCATTGGTCTGCGAGAAGTGGGTGAAGGTGTACATGTTTGGGTGGATGTGCAAGCGTCGTAGTCGGCGTCTGAGTTCTGTAAGTGCATGTGTGGGGTGGCCGTAGTGATGAACCATGAGCAGTGTGGCTAGGGACTCGGCCCACATGGACAGTGGCTTGTTGACCATCGGCATGTTGAGAACTCTGCGACACGTGATGATGATCAGGTAGAGAACCTGATAATATTGGTAGGATGCTTTGACATCGAGTGGATCACATCCGCGATGGACCTGTTCAGCTTCTTCGCCAGCGATTTGTACGAGTACTTGGACCGGTTGTCCGCTTTCAGGCTGCAAAGCTGCTGGTCATCTTCCTCTGTCCAGGCACTGTCTGCACTGCTGCGGTTGGTGAATGCAACCAGGTCATGCATATAGTCACTTGACGATGGCCCGTAAGGTTGGTCTCGATTGCGGTTCGGGTTGTTTAGGGTTGTTCAGGGTTTCCAGGAGGGGCCCCACGGGGAACCAGCAAAAAGAGCCAACACACAGGAAAAACAAAGGGGACCTAAACAGGACAAGAGGGGACCAACGCAAAACAACACCAAAGGGATCCAAAACAGGCCGAGTTTTAGGGAGCAAGGCAAGGGGACCAAAGCGGGCCAAGGTTAGGGGACCGGCGCAGGAAAAAGGACAAGAACACAAAGCCAAGTTTAGGGAACCGACAGGGAAAAAGACAAACAGAGCCAAAACAGGCCACGTTTAGGGGACCAGCGCAGCAAAAAGACAAAAGGAACCAAACCAAACCAAAAGCCAAAACTGTTACAGGGCGTAAGACCAATTGAGGGACGGCTGATAAATGCTGATCAGGGCATGCTCTTGAGTCCAGGTGACCGTGTGGTCGGGGTCGATCAGGATGACCCAGGTGGCAAACTCATCATAGTTGCCGAAGTGATGCCACCATCTGAGTGCTGGTTCAGCATAAAATGAATTGCCCATGTTGAATGCCCAGCAGCTTGGCTCGACGATTGTGCTCTCGGCTGGAATAAGTGATGCTAGTACCTGCTGCTTTGCGGTCTCCGGGATGAAGCTGTAGTCGCCGAAGTCGCGGAAGTGGCCAGAGCTGCTGCTGCCTTGGATGAGCGATCCGACCGTGCGTCCCTTCGGGAGATCGGTGGTGGCGTCCTGGAGCGAGCTCGACTTCGGCGCTGTGGGGGCGCCGAGTCTTAGTGCAATGAGCGCAGTGAGGTAGGGAAGGAAGTGGTCGGTGCCGTGTTGCAAGCTGACTGGCCACGTTTGTTCAGGGATGCCATAGTGTTTGGCAGCACCGCATAGTTCTGAACTTTCATACTTGCCGAAGAGCTGCAGGAGAGACTCCGTTTCCGGAGGCTGGATGACCGGCATGGCTTAGCCATGTGTAGCAGGCTTGAGCACCGATGTGTTAGCTGGGGTCAACTTAGAACAACACAGGATTGCAAACCCCGAGAACCGAGAAAAAGAAAAAGAAAAAGAAAAAGAAAAACAGGGCAGGTTGCGGGCACACCTGAAAAGTCAGGCCAGAGGGAACCACACCGTCCTAGCGAAAAAGGTCATCAACCCACAGCGCCTAGCAGTGGGACGGTTTGTGCCAGCCGGTTCATAGTTTGCTAATGCCCTCCAGCGTGAGCGTGAGCATCGCTTCTCTCACTTGCCGTACATGTGTAGTACCATGATGAACTGAAGGAGCGCTCGTTTCGATCCTTTACTCATCATAGTTGCCGAAGTGATGCGACCATCTGAGTGCTGGTTCAGCATTAATGAATTGCCCATGTTGAATGCCCAGCAGCTTGGCTCGACGATTGTGCTCTCGGCTGGAATAAGTGATGCTAGTACTGCCAATGTATACATCGGACTGCGGGTTGACTGAGTGCGGAAGGTCAGGGCGAAGTTCTACTCTCTGCTTCCAGTATACCGCATTGGTCTGCGAGAAGTGGGTGGATGTGCAATCGTCGTAGTCGGCGTCTGAGTTCTGTAAGTGCATGTGTGGGATGGCCGTAGTGATGAACCATGAGCAGTGTGGCTAGGGACTCGGCCCACATGGACAGTTGCTTGTTGACCATCGGCATGTTGAGAACTGCTGCGGTTGGTGAATGCAACCAGGTCATGCATATAGTCACTTGACGATGGCCCGTAAGGTTGGTCTCGATTGCGGTTCGGGTTGTTTAGGGTTGTTCAGGGTTTCCAGGAGGGGCCCCACGGTGAACCAGCAAAAAGAGCCAACACACAGGAAAAACAAAAGGGACCTAAACAGGACAAGAGGGGACCAACGCAAAAGAACACCAAAGAGATCCAAAACAGGCCGAGTTTTAGGGAGCAAGGCAAGGGGACCAAAGCGGGCCAAGGTTAGGGGACCGGCGCAGGAAAAAGGACAAAAACACAAAGCCAAGTTTAGGGAACCGACAGAGAAAAAGACAAACAGAGCCAAAACAGGCCACGTTTAGGGGACCAGCGCAGCAAAAAGACAAAAGGAACCAAACCAAACCAAAAGCCAAAACTGTTACAGGGCGTAAGATCAATTGAGGGACGGCTGATAAATGCTGATCAGGGCATGCTCTTGAGTCCAGGTGACCGTGTGGTCAGGGTCGATCAGGATGACCCAGGTGGCAAACTCACCAGCGAAATAGCCGCCCCCCAACGTGGGTTCAGGGATGCCATAGTGTTTGGCAGCACTGACTTGGAGTAGGGGGGAGCTCTGTGGGAGTGTGATCGCTTGCCGTCCGTTGTGCGGCGTGGTCTTGCCGGTGGGTTGGCCGGTGGCAGCATCTGACTGGATGGATGAGATGCCGACGACGTAGGTGTCGGAGTCGGTGCTTTAGTCGTGGTGGTCACTGGCTTTGGCACTGGGGTGGCCTGGTTGCGAGGGCGTTGTAACTGGCTGCGGAGGTGTAGAACCTGGTACCGCCGCATGCTGAGAGACCGTGGGAGTCTGCAGGATTGCCGTAGAGGTCGGTGCGGTAGCCGGAGTCGGACATGCTGTAGCTGGAGCCGTTAGGGTAGTTGGGGTTGCCGGGCGCGCCTTCACCAGGATTTGTGGCAGTGGGCCAGCAGCCGATCCAGGCCGGGTGGGAGAAGCGGCAATAGGCACCGTTGCGACACGAGGAGCAGGGGATGGAGCCGAAGGTTTTGTGGCCATCGGGATGCCGGACAACGTGCCAGTAGTGCTGAAGGTCGGTGCCACAAGTGTACTCCTGCTCGGTCTGGGTGGCGTAGGACCCGCTGTGTGATTGGTGGCCTTCGACATAGGGCCTGCTGAGTTCGACATTGGACCTGCGTTGGGGCGTGGCATCTGTTGCCGACAATTGCGAGCCAAGAGCAAGCTGACGGCGTCATGAGTTCTTGCCTGATGTGTCGGGTGGTCTGGCGGGTAGTCAAACAGTTTGTCTGACTGAAAAAGGTCCACTGGAAACAGTCTGGGGTGCCGGAATGTCTGGGAGAAGTCCAAGCCTGTATTGAGAAGGTCAGCTGGAACAGTCAAGCGTCACGAGCGACAAGGTCCGGTAACTGTCTGTAGAAAATGTCTTTGCATGAGTCGGAACAGATGCCCACAACAGGGATCAAGACACTGACCGAAGCCCGGACGCAGTGCCTAAACACACTTGATATGAGACGGCGAAACTGCGAAGGTGCACCCCGAAACGTAGGAAGACGCATGCACGGAATCAGGTTGGAGTTTCGGCATGGCTCACTCAGGTCGTCGTTCCCGACAGCGGGCATCCTCTTCAACGGAGTGCCAACACCCAGCTGTCAGTACTTCACGCCGTTGTTCACCATGGTGGCACCCGACTCCAAACACAAAAGGACAGCGGAAACCCCTTAGAAACAGGGGGGCCACACACACACACACACACACACACACACACACACACACGAGCCATGGTCGAACCATCTGCAAGTCATGGTCATTGTTCCCGGAGTGTTTTCCCCGAAAAGCTATGTTTCATTTGCCCGGAGTGCTTTTCATTCAACCACCCCCAAACGACCCTGCAAACTAACGTCGCTCCCGAAAAGGCGCTCATTTTTCCCCCACAAAGCCGTGAGCTGTTTGAAGACTTTACCCTGCCTTGGGAGACCCGCACCCCCCTTTCTGGTTCCTCCTGTGAAAATTTCCGGGACCAGCTGGGGAGCTGGCCATTGATTGGGCCGCAGGTTCCGCAAGGGCAGGATCACCTGGCTGCGGTCTGGACTTTTGGGGTCTTTGGCGTCCCATGAGTTCTGCAGGTGGATGTTCCTGTTCTGGATCTAACCTTTTTCTTGAAGAGGTTTTCTCCTCTGCAGATGAACATGGAACCAAAACACAAACCTCTTAGATTGGGTTCATGTTAATTTGCAGAGCTTCAAAAGGGAATTCAAGGAGAAACCTGCCCATCTGGAACATTTCCTCATTTCAAGACACCCAGATCCACCAGTGGCTTTCGAACATCGGACGTGGTAGGTTCGGTGTGGTCAGATGATGGCTTCAAATGAGGCTGCCTTGTAGAGGTGGCTGCTCAAAATCTGGGCTTGAACCCCGAAACAAAGGGTGGGTCCATTGACAACCTAAAAAAAAAAAAACGAGAGGCATGGGGGTGTCCATACGCTGGAAGCTGCCGTCACAATCAAGACACGCTACTAAAGGGGCCTACCCCAACTGTAAAGAATAAGACTGGCCCGAGTTGGTTGTTCAAAAAAAAACTCCAACTTTTGGATCCTTGTCTCAACTGATGAACAAACCCGCCAACAACAAGTTGGAAGTTGCCAACTCACCTGGCGTGCAAAGGAGAAACCTTCGAAGAAGCAACTGGCTAGGCCGCACCTGGACTCCTGCACCATGCTTCGAGTTGCTTGTCATGTTCCGAAACAGGTTTCCACAAGAGCCATCTGACCCCAAAAAAAAACACACGGCAAAAACCACAAGAAGTGTCGTCGAAAAGGCGCCCTTCTGCTGCTGGCCTATTTGAGAGGACTGCAATCTTTCAATGCCATCCTGTACAAGTTCCATGACGGGAAAGAGGGTACTGTATGCGACTCGACAATTACTAACATCGTTCCCCTACTAGCATGACTGAAATTTGTTTTAGTGCACCCCATGCTAACTATTCAAGCCCTTACAGAAGCCCTACATTTCCCCTTTGAATATCACCGCACCACAGCGTGTATGTATTTATATATATATATACATACACACACACATCTATGGCGACTATGTCTAAATACATAATATTGCGGGTTGTCACCCCAACGATCAAAAGGGAACTACCAAAAAAAAGAGGGTAGTTGTTCAAGCGCCTCGTCCGCCTTGTCGCGGGTCTGCACCATGCCGGCCACGATCTGGGGGAGAGGTGAAAAGAGGAAGTGGTTTAATTCATGTTTGAACACCCCCGTTCTGGTTTCCATCAAAGGAAATGTCAGGCCTTTGAACCAATTTTGGCCCACCCTGGGTTTGAGGCCCTTGTGGGAGTGGAGAAGGGAGGCTGGTCCACAAACCCGCCGCTTTGGTTTAGACACGAAAAAGACTCGAGGCTCCGCATTCGGCAACGGCTCTTGCTCTCCTGCAAATGGACCCCTATTGCCTTCCAGGAGGCCCCCTCAAACCACTTGGCGGCTCCTAGAAACCTGCCTCGGCTTTTCCCCCAACTCAAAATGAGACATTTGATTCTGGGTCATGTTTAGTGCCAAAGTGGGATTCCCTTCTTGATATTACGCAGCTTGGCTAAGAAATTACAAGCGTGATTGAAAGGCAATTGTGTCACTTCGTGCGAAATCGCGGAAATGGGTCTTCCCTCCCAAAGAAAAATCTCTCGATTTTCGGAGGCTCGATGGGAAGTACCTGAGATTCCTAGGTTCGATTCAAGGACTCCACAGAACTGGGGGTCTTGGGTTTGAGCCCAGAGACGGGACCTCTATCCGAGCTCAGGCCCACGCCCCTTCGCGCCACTCGGAGTCTGGGCCTCCAAGCCGCTTGACCCGGCCCCGGAGCAGCTTTTGCCCGCCAAATGTTGGACCCTGGAGTCCATATGCGACACACGGACCGCAAAAACGGTTTGAAAGAGATGGAGGGCTGAGCCAAATCCCAATCAGTGCTGCCTTTCTTGGGAGGCACCAGCTGACCCTTGGGTCATGCCCGAATTCCACCTCTGTGGTGTTTTATTTTTTGGGGGGGGGGCTTGTGATTGGGTCCAAGCACAAAAAGTGATCAAATATTAAAATAGACAAAATTGTTTAAATGTTCATGTGTTAAAATCAGTTTCAGTGGCTAGAGATGTTTGTAACTATGTCTTAAACAATAGTTAGTTTACGTGTCTATAATCATGTATAACTAAATCAAAATATCATTCTGAAATTGTGGACATGATTAAACGTACGTCTAAAGATTATGTTCCGTTGGCAGAAAAGACATACAGTACGTGGTTCTAAGTATTTTTTTGTGGAAATGATTGTGAACAGTCTAAGAGTTCTTTTAAGTCGCTTAGACGTGTGCAGATAGGTAATCAAACAGAATTTACACTCTGACACAGCAATGGCGCCAGAAACCATAGAACTGTTGCCACTTTGGGAACTGGTAGGGACTCTTTTGACTCAAGCATGCATGCGCTTGCCGTTCTTCTTACACCCTCCCTCCCCTTCCCTCCCCTCCCCTCCCCTCCACTCCACTCCACTCCACTCCACTCCACTCCACTCCACTCCACTCCACTTCACTCCACTCCACTCACTAGCTTGCAAATGGCTTGAGGGAAGATTGGAGCATCAAATCAAACATGAGATGCAAAGATGCCACGCGCTCATCATGCCCACCTGCACCCCCCCTCCTTGTCAGGGTCTCCAATTCTGCCCCTGAGTGGGCTGACCCTAACCATCCCCAACAGCTGAGGGACATTCACATTGGCTCACATACTGGGATCATTCTTCCGCGACATCCTCCAAACAATTCTGAACACCCCTCATGCTCACCAGCCAAAAGGCATCCGAAAAACACGACCCGGCCTTCCATGGCGCAGACCATGACACGATACTCCACCCAGGTGAGGAGTCCCTGGCAAAGACTTCCAAGGGACTCCCCTGAGTATGGGAATCCAATTTTGGGAATCCACACTTTTGAGGTTGGTAAGAGATGTGAGTACCCAGACTGGTGGACATGTAGGGACTCATGTCCACCAACTCTGAGGAGCCGTACCCTCCGATTCTTGAGGATCCTGCTGTTCAGAAATGGCAAAGTCGGGGATACAGGACGGTGGCTGAAAAGAAGGATGTGTGAACAGAATTTATGATTGGAATCAGCCCGTAGAATGTATTCTCTTTGGGTGCCATTTGTTTTTTTTTTTTTTCCGGAACACCCAACTCTTTTCAAACACCAGTTGTCACTGGGTGTTCGGTGCTGGGGCTCCCTCAGGGGATGGTTCCCAAACAAATTTGGGTGTTTCTCAAAATGGGGCCCCTTTTTGATGTGGTTGGTTTAAGGTTCGTCTTTTTCTTAGGGCTGGTTTAGTTGGGTTTAGTTGGTTTAGGGCTGGTTTAGAGAGGGTTCAGAGCTGAGCCCTCGCGAGAAGTGAACATGCAAGCCACAGTCACAAAACACAAAAGCTACCCTTCGTATTGCAATTTGAGATGGAAAATTAGTAAAGGGCTCCCGGCCTAAAAGCTTTCTCAGAGCCGGCCAAGCCTCGCCTGAGGTTCCTACGGTCGTGTCTACCAAGATCTCTCTTGGGCGTGCACCCGTGTCCAAACCCAGAACTCCTGGCTTTTCCAGTGCTAGCATTGCAGAAAGGGGCAGCTCCAATAGATGTTGGCTTGCGAATTGGGAACCCTCCACAGGAAGTAGCCTTCAAAGCCCAGGTATCCCCAACCGGAACCCTTCCGGAACCCAAAACACCGAAAAATACCGAAAACACCCAACGCCGCTACGAACCACTCCAGAGCCTAACTGGGCAGAGATCCCTAAGCTTTCACATGACGCACCCACCTCTTACTCTGCGGATGAACCTGAAACCCCAAATCGAAAGCCCCTTGGAGAAGGAAAGACCTCCTGAGTTGACTGGCCAGAAGAAGCACATCTGGCCCTTGACAAACTGACGAAGACAGCAGTTGACAACCAGTTTAAAGCTTGCAGCAAACTCGCTGGGGGCGGGCAGGGCCAACCAATATGAGCAACACCCAACGCCATCTATTTGTTGTTATACCAACTTGCTTGTATATACAGGTAATTGTGGCCCTTTCTATGGCCCCCACGAAAGCAGGTAGACGAACCACCTACTAAAATGGTCGATATGGATTGTAGGCGCTACTCAAGAATCTATAGCAGCACCTGCTTGATTGGTCCCGGTGCAATTCACATCAGTCGAAGCCCCATTGGTGCCGATAGGAGTCGGTAACCTTTTTCGGGATAGTGTTGAAAGCAAATGAAAACCAGCTCAAACCTGGTGCATTTTGTTGAGGGTGCTCTTTTCACCTTGGTTTAACGGGAAACTGAGAGGACAACCTCCAATTTCTTCAAACCCCTATTTTGACGAGCCCTGCGCACACTCCATGTCCGATGGGACGAGTTGCCTCCGTGCTGAAGGGCATCCAGGCCGCCTGAGGAACAAAAACAGGTAGGATTTCTACCAGTTCCACAAACGTTTTACACCAATGATACTTAGTTTGATGCTTTTGAACTATTTGGGGGGTCGGTTTTCCGGTGTCCTGCCCTCTGTCAACAATCATAGAAGCTGAAAGGAGGGTTTTGGAAGACTGCAGTCCTCTTGAAGAGGTCGGCAGCTGTCCACTTTCCTGTTGGAAAGAGGGGGATTGGCTCTCATGAAAAAAACGAGTGACCCCGCAGCCAGAAGCATTGTGTTGCGCATCAGGGCTGCAGATTCAGGAATACGTTTCTCAGACGATAAGGCTTGAAGGAAAACAGTTGCAGCTAGAAAAGTGGGATGAAATCTAAACAAAAAACGAATTGGAGCCAAGTCTGATTGAGAGCCAAAGTGGGCTATACGGTTTCTCCAGAATTTGTTGCCCAATCCTAGTACGATGTACCTTCGGTGCGACACCCATGAAGGATGACAAATCTGCCAGTGTCCACGAGATGCGTGTCGTGTGCGCACTACGAAGCTCTGGTCTTGCACACAATGTGCAACAGTTGAAGCCATCGTCTAAACCCAGGGCCTGGCAGAAAATGGAAGTTGTCATCCTTTTGTCATGTGTCAGGTGTCCAAAGAACATGGCCTTCGTGAAATTTGAAGCGGCCGGCCTTGGGGGACAAATAATGACACTTGGCTATCGTCTTGAAAGTGGACTTAGATGAAGCCAGCCCTCGAAAGTGGTGACCGGCTTTGGACAGATTCCCATAGTTGACTGGGTCGAGCAAAGTGACATCCTCAAAATTGCCCTGCTCATTGTGGTTTCGAGGAAAACCGACCCAAAGTATATGAAGGGACCCGGTTGAATGATTTTACCAAGGGACCCAAGGGCAACTGGAAGGTCCGATGACGGCAATCTGTATTTCTTCTCGGGGAGAAAACTAACTCTGAACACGAAAGCAGCAGTATCACAAAGAGAAAACAAATAAACAAGCTAACCCGGAACTCTGGAACAAAAAGCAGGAAGCCAGCAAGCAATCAAACAAGGCAAACAAGCAACCAAAAAAAACAAACAAACAAATACATGCAAACAAGACTAAACTAACTAACGAACTAACGAACTAACGGACTGACTGGCAGACCAACTAACTAACTAACTAACTAACTAACTGACTGACTGACTAACTAACTAACTAATGAACTAACTAACTGACTGACTGACTGACTCACTAACTAACTAACTAACTAACTAACTAACTAACTAACTAACTAACTAACTAACTAACTAACTAGCTAGCTTACTGGACAAACGAACAAACAAACAAACAAACAAACAAAAAAACAAAGGCGGAAGAAACAAAGCAAACAAGGCTAAACAAACAAACAAACAAACAAACAAACAAACAAACAAACAAACAAACAAACAAACTAACTAACTAACCAACTAAACAACTAAACAAACAAACAAAAAAACAAAACAAAACTAACAAAACAAAACAGAACAAACAAGCCACAAACACCTGCAACGGCCCCAAGCAAAAACAAAACGAAGCAACACAGAACGGCGAAAGGAGAAACAAGGCAACAAAGCTGGCAAGGGCCGGGGATCCGATGCGCCTCGCCCTCGGAGTCTGTAAGGCGCCGAATCTCGATGCACTTGGCTGCCTGCGGAACCGCAGTGCTGAGTGAAAGTAGTAGGTGCGTTCATTCTTAAGGAGGGTCCGCCTATTATAATTCACACCCACAACACATATACCCAAGTGGGGTAAGTAAGGAGATGTATGAGATGGCTAAACCCAAATGAGGTACTGTGCCATCTTGCACCTAACTGTAGGCCCTTCCACAAAATATTCCATGTACTTTGGTAGGTAATAACTGGAGTTGCCGTCTCAGCAAAACCCACGCCGATCAGCACCAGTTGGGGTTGGTAGCCCAGTATTCAAATCGGGCTTCATACATCACTGGTGCGAAGCAGATTTTGTCCATCGCAGTATTGCAAGCAAGCAACGGAAACCAGAGCAATTGTATTGTACGACAAGTTATCCTGAATTTAATGTTTTGATGATGCCAAAGGGGATGCCACAATGCTCTACGTTTTGCAAACAAACAGCGGAAAACCTGTAAGTTGAGAGCTACATCATTGCTTACATGTTCCTATGAGCATGACTTAATTTGGCCTTAAAGCACTCCATGACCCAACATGATTCCTTTTTTAATGTTTGGCCCTTGTAGTACTCCCTTGCAAATGAGCATGGAATACAACAGACGCTCATCTGTAGAGGAATCTTCAGGCAGGAGAGCAATCTTTAGCGCGCGCCCGTGGCTGATGTGGTTCACATGCCTGGGAAACTCGGCCCTATGGCCAAAGCCGGCAAGCAGCCGAAGAAAAAAGAGCAGCACGAGTCGCAAGCATTCACAGGGGTGTTCGCAAAGGAGGCGTCTCCTCAAATGGTTGGATGCCTTTTGGCATCCCTTTAAATACCAACCGGAAGGGCGTCAATCAGTTTAAGAAACTCCCACACAAACGTTGGAGAATGTTTCTGTAGGGAAGCTTCCATTTTGGGGAACACTCATGTGGACCGAGCCAGTTGCCAAGACGGAAATAAGGAATCCCTTAAGTTGAGCGACCTTCATCATGGGCGTAAACGCTCGTGTTTACCTCCCAAGGAGCTCGATATACTTTGCACGCAAATGGCACAATCCAAAAGCCATGGCGAGGTGAACGACAAAGGCTTAGAGACTTGCAGCGGCAAAATGGTCCAAACCCAAAAAGTAAACTCGGAGAACGGACTCGGTGCAACACCATAAGGAGCCACTGGCCAAAACGAGGGTTTGCACGAGAGTTCAGGCATCGATTCCATTGCTACTCACCACTGCGCCTCCTTGCTGGCGCCCTGGCGAGGTGCACGGAGTTTGTTTTTTCACCAGAGCTGGTGCAGGGCTCCTCCGGTGATGTTGAAAATCGCTCAAGAACGGGAAATATGAGAACCCCTGCGGTTTGGGTTGGAGGCTTGGTAACACTTGCTTTGCGGCTTAACAGGGGAGGTGCCTGCGTCAAACACTTAGGCATGATGTGTTGTGGAGAAGTGGTCGCAACCAATGTCCGTCACCCTTGCGGGATCCCGACCGATGTATTTCGTGAAAGCCATGGGAGGCCCACACTAGTACTATGCAATCGTGTGAGACGCTTCGGTCATAGCCATCTGTCCTTGCTTGCCATACACGCCCAGGATTTCCTGGCACCCCAAAACCTTGGGATACACACAACCGCTTGTGACAAGGCCTTCACCTATCCTCTTTACCTCTCCTTCCAGACTTCAGAATAGTCTCACTGTCTCATGGGGAACGCGCAAAATGACTTGCCCAGCATCCCGTTTCCCTTTTCCCTTCACAAGCCACCAAAGTGAAACCGATGCCATGTCCCCGCCCT